TCTCTTCGTGATAATAAGGGTTCCTTGATGACAATGCTCTCTTCTAAGAAGTGGAGGAAGAGTAGTTTCGCTAAGCTTCGGGAAGGGAGCAGAGGTCATGGGATTGTACTTAATGTTAGATTTTGGGGAGATGTGAAAAATTTGCCTTAAAGCTGCTCAATCTCTAGTCAAGGTTCTACGCTTGGTTGATTCTGATGAAATACCATCAATGCCCTTCTTATCCATTGAAATAACTCAAGTGAAGGAGAAGATTAAGAGCAACTTCAATCATGTGGAAAGAAGGTAATTACCAATTTTCCTATGCCTATTAACTTATTATATAAGTCTATCTCATTTGTTATTTTAAGTTGTGAATTTTATGTCTTTTATGTAGATATAAGAAAGTCTTGAAGATCATTGAAAAATGATCGGAAGGTCAAATGAGTAGGCCACTTCACTATGTTGAATATTTATTGAATCCTCAAATTTCATCATTCTCAAGTATTTATCTATAATGATCCAAATGTGAAAATAAGATTGAATGAATGTGTGGCTAGACTTGCAAAGGGCATGAAGAGAAGTTTAAAATAGTAGAACAGTTGCATTATTTCATCATGCTCAAGTCTTGTTTGATAAGTTTGGTGCAATGGTCTATTAAAGGATAGGCAACATCCAGCTGATTGGTGGAGCTCATTTGGAGATGAATTGCCAAAGCTTCAAAAAATTGCCATCCGAGTGTTGAGTTTGAAGAGTAGTTTTGCTAAGCTTCGGAAAGGGAACAGAGGTCAAGGGATTTTATTTGATGGTAGATTTGGAAAGATGTGAAAAAATTGCCATAAAGTTGCTCAAACTCTAGTCAAGGTTCTACGCTTGGTTGATTCAGATGAAAAACCATCAATGCCCTTCGTATCCATTGAAATAACTCAAGTGAAGGAGAAGATTAAGAGCAACTTCAACCATGTGGAAAGAAGGTAATTGCCAATATTCCTATGCCAATTACCTTATTATATAAGTCTATCTCTTTTGTTATTTAAGTTGTGAAATTTATGTCTTTTATATAGATATAAGCATGTCTTGAAGATCATTGAAAAAAAGGCGGGAAGACCAAATGAGTAGGCCACTTCACTATGTTGTATATTTGTTGAATCCTCAAATTCATCATTCTCGATGATTTAGCCATAATGATCAAAATGTGAAAATGACATTGTATGAATGTGTGGCTAGACTTGCAAAGGATGATGAAGAGAAGTTTAAAATAATTGAACAGTTGCATGTATTTCATCGTGCTCAAGTCTTGTTTGATAAGTTTAGTGCAATGAACCATTAAAGGATATCAACATCTAGTTGATTGGTGGAGCACATTTGGAGACGAAATAACAGAGCAAAAAATTGTCATCCGAGTGTTGAGTTTGACTTGTAGTGATTCTGGATGCGAGCGTAACTGGAGTGCATTTGAGAGGGTAAGTATCAAATTATCATATTTGTTGGTTATAACTTACAAGTTTACAATTTTCGTTGTTTTTTTCCATTCATTTACATGTGAGCTTTTTTCTTATAGATTCTTACTAAGAAAAGAAATAGTTTCCATGCACAGAAGATGAATGATCTTGTGTATTTCATGTGCAACAACAAGTTGGTGGGGGAAATGTCAAGAAAGCAAGAAGGCTTGAAATTAACTTGAGGATATAGACTCCGAGAATGAATGGATTTTTACTAGTGACAATGAAGAAGAAGAAGAAGAAGAAGAAGAAGAAGAAGAACCACAAGTTGAAGATTTAGGGATTGGAGGTGAAGAAGGTGATAATGCTATTGAAACTGATCATGTTATTCCTACTGATGACGATGGGGGTGATAATGTTATTGGTGTTGATGATCCAAGAGATGATGGTAACCATGGATAAGATATTCCACTTGATGGTGATGGTGATTATGATGGCGGTGATAGTGATGATGATAATGATGATTTGAATGCAAATGTTGAAGGCGATGAACTAATGTAGTTTTCTTTCTATTTTATAAAATATTTGTGTGTTTTGATTTTGAGAACTTGGGTATTAAACTCGTATGTCCTTTTGTAAACTTAAAATATCTTATGACTTGTGAGAATTTGGATTCTTAAGCTCGCTTGTGGGTAACGATCTATGTTTATGAACTTATTGTTAGGATGTGATGAGTTTGCTATACTTTAGAAAGTATACAAATTAGGTTATGTGTGAGAAATTACATTTTAAGTATGAATTGCATGTATTTATTCACTTATCTAAAATATAACTACTCACATTTTACATAGTACATGTCATATTTTAACAGATTCTATTCTACATGATGCATAAAAAAAATTACGCTTTTACGCTTCGATTCTACGCTTTATGATTTTACCCATTTTTTGTTTTTAGGCAGAATCATGCTTTTGACTGCATTGGTGGCGACTACTATTTACACAATTTCGCTGCAAGTTAGCACTATCCAGGATCAACTAATATGGGCTTAGTCTAAGTCGGGAGAATATGCAGCGAGGGAATTGGAAAAGGTTATCAAACCAGGATAAGGGGCAAGAAAAAAGAGCATGAGCTAGAAGATATGGGGTCAAAGGAGATGTGAAGACGTATCATGTCGCTGAATATACCATCTAAAGTAAAGCACTTCTTCTAGCGACTCACTAGAGATGCATTGCCAACTAAATTTAAGATCAATCATCGAGTTCCTTAATGGAGGCTGAACTGCCCTTTAAATGTTCAATAGGAGATGAAAATCCACTTCTTTGGGGAGTATCAGTGAGCGTGTAGGATTTAGAGGCCTTCCCCAATGGAGACATGCTTCTCATTCATGACAACCAATAATGTAACTAAGTGGGTTATGCAGGTGCTAATGTTTTATCACGATAAGATGATTCCAAATGGGCAATGGTATTGTTGTATTTGTGGAAGGAGTGAAACACTCAAGTGTTTAATTGGAAGTAGACAGAGGAATCCATGATTATGCAAGCAACTATAACAATAAATTCGGACATCGGCCTCACTAAGACGGAGGTCATACACTCGAGTATAAGAAAGAAGCTTAGAGAGTGCAGTGGGGGAATGACTACATTGTAGACAACTTCTAATGAAACAACCACATTATGGCGCATTCAAAGACTAGATGGGGCTAGTGAAAAGCTGGGGAAATGGAACTCATATGTTCCTTTGTGAACTACTTCGATCGAATAATGTAAGTGCTTCTTTGGAGTAATAAAGTTTGACGTAGGATACAATATGTAAAAACATCTCAAAACGTATGTCTCTAAAAAACAAGGTTGTCAGTTCGGGGGTCGACCAACTGGTTGACCCAGATCAACCCAGACCCATCCATGAAAATGGGTGCCAGTAATCCAGTAGACATTCTGCCAGGACACAGTCAAACTCGGTTAAGCCCAAGCGGTATGACCCAACGAGCGAGTACCGCGCGGACTTGGCTTCATTTACAATCAGTAGAAAGGTAAGTTCGGAATCGTCTCTTGTCGCCACCAGGTTGGCGGCACTCTACTGTTAGAACTCGACACCATTCCTAGCCGCTCTCGCTCGCTGCGTGCAATCCTCCTCGCTTGCGCTTCAGCCTCCTCACCATTGAAACTATTACCATTGCGCATCAATCAATCACAATAAAAGAAAAAAGAAGAAAACAATCGATGTGAACTAATCGAGCAAGACCCAGAAATAGAGATCCCCCATTGTTGGATTGACAAAATCAGTTTTGATCAAGTTAGCATATTGAATTGACCTTGGACGGATTGAATCTTAAATCAAGGGGGATCAAATTGAGTGATCAAAGGAAATAAAGCTTCATCACAACAAAGCCTTCCATTTATGGGTTTATTCAAATTGCAACGGCTACTTTGATGAAAGCTATATAAATTGTTGTCGAGAACAAGAATGTACCGATTTGATAGGAATTCTTTGTGGTAAAGGGAAAAGGGTTGGATTAATCAGTGGCTTCGATTTGTATGAGTTAGAGGTTCAGAAGATCGAAGGGTGTGACAAATTCCTGCAAGAATTTGGGTATGTTAGTTGTGTCTTTTGATTTTCTCACCATCATCTATAAGTTTTCTTTCTTTTCGAGTAAAAATAAATAAAATTGTCTCTTGACATAGTAGTACTGTCCCGTGACAAGGAGTAGCCAGGTGGCAAACCTCTTTAAAAATCTCACTGTGTTATTTCCATTTTACTCTGCCTCTTCCCTTTGGTTTTTGATCCTCTGTTTTTGTTTTTGGTGTTTGTCACTGGAGAAGAAGAAATCTTCTCTTCTCACAACTCTGGTATTTGGGCGGATTGAACTAAAGCCAGACATTCTTCACTTAGTTGTTTGTGGGCTTCCATCTTGGTCAAGCCCAACACAAGCTCAAGTCAGATTGAAAAGTCAGTAACATTCGTTGACTTTTTCGTTTTAATCTTACTTACGAATTCCTTGCTTCATCTTCGTCTCCATCCCATATCAATCCCCATAATTTGAAATTGATTCCTTAGATTTCCACATCCACTGACATTAATTTACTTACTCGAACAAGCAAAAGTGAAAATTCATCAAGTAAAGAGGAAGAGAAGAAGCTTACCTTATTTGTCACCTAATATGATATATTGAGGACTTGTAAATTAGAAGAAGGGGGAATGAGCAATTAGAAGAAATCTAAGGTGAGGAAGAGATGAAGAGAGGGATTAAGTAGGGGTGGCATTCGGTCGGTTCGATTCAAACCGAACCGAACATATGATTACCGGGTCCCCGAAATAGCTAGTGGAGCAAACCAAATTTGATCCAAAATGTATCCCGGTTCGGTTCAGTTTTGATGCCACACCCGAATTTCCATAGATAAAGTCTCTCCCCCACCCCACTAACTCTATCTCCCCATTTACAATTTGCGCAGACCAAATTCTCTCTCTCTCCCTCCCTCCCTCTCTCCCTCCTCAAAGCCCAACGCAGCCGTGATTTTTTTTCCCATCTCTGATCTCTGGACTCGGCGATTGACAGAGAGAACCCAAGGGCACCCGACGATGGCAATTGACGGAGAGTACAACACGGCGGTAGGCGGCGACGGCAATGGCCTCGAGCAGATCTTGGTTTCGGGGCGAAGGTGTCGAATCTGGCAGATCTTGAAAAAGCTCGAGTATTGTTGCAATCACCGGTGGGGTCGCCGTCGTTCTGCTCTTTCGTCGCCTAGGGACCGCCGCCAAGCTTCACCCCCTCCACTATTGATTGTTGTGAGGTTTGGGTGGGCTAGGATTTGACTATAGAAATGGGAAAATAGATGTAGCGGGCTTGAGCTTGTGTGGGCTTGAGCTTGTGTGGGCTTAGTGTTTGGGTAAGTTCGGTTGGTCGATTCGGACTTCGGTATTTGGTTGGGCGGACCTTGGTTTCCGAAGTATTGAGTTTTTCCTTCCGAATTTCAAACCGAACAAGAATAATTCGGTTTTGATTCGATTTAGTTCGGTTTCGGTTCAGATCGAGTTTACCGAACCGGATGCCCACCCCTATGATTAAGTGCATAATTGCTGCACTATTGCATATCGTATGAAGAGAATTTATTGGTTGATAAGGAAGGAGATTCAATTTTTAAGAAAGAGAGCACATGTATCAGTTGCTTGACCGGGCCAACGGACTAAACCGGATTTACAAATCTATTAAAAAATCACTCTTGGTCTCTTGAGCTTTTTTCCGTTTTCCTCCAAAACAAAGTTGTCAACCCGCGAGTTGATCCGGACCCGGTTGAGCTAGTGGGTCAAAGGTTAATGAGTCACCCGTTTTAACCCGATTTAGCCCGGAAACATGGAAAGCGTCATTATATTGTACTTATCCTGATAAATTATATCAAATCTCATCTAACATATGAGTTATAACATATAATATTACACCAAAATAATATTTCGTACTTATATTCAACATATAATGAAAATTCACACACACTTATATAACATTAATATTCAAATGTTCAACTTAGGATTCCAAAGATTGAGTTAGGCGAAAAGAAAAATTGGAAAATATGTGCATTTCGCAAAACAAAAAAAAAGACACAATTTGACCTCCAACCCGGTACCTTGTGGCGGTCGACCCGGCGAGTGCGTGCGGCCCGTTTTTCTCACCGGGTCAGAGTCAGGTTGACAACCTTGCTCCAAAATAAATAATTTCCGTCCCCCCAATATCCGCTGCTCTCTTTCGTCTTTCTTTCATTTTCTTTCCACGCTGCGCATCTTCCTTCGCCCCCGGCAAACTATTTACCAACACCGAAAAAGGAAAAAGAAAAACAGAAAAAGACTTTTCCATCACTCTCTCTTCTCCAGCCGGCCCTCCAGTTCCTCGCTCGCTTCACAACAAACCAGCCGAGATATGATCCCTCCTCCACCTCCGCGATTCTGATCCCTCCTCCAATTTCTCTCCCTCTCCCTCTCCCAATCCGATTCCTTTTGCCCTCCTCACTAACCCTAAGATTCCAGAAGAGGAGGTGGTGAACAAGGCAGGCCCCGCCGCCGCTCACTTCCAGATGGCGACCACTACCAGCCTCACCGGCGGCGGCGGTGACGATCGGGTCATGGCCACCGCTCAGCAGATCGTCAAGAGCCTCAACACGCCCGCCAACGTCAGAGAAGACATGCTCCTAATTTTCTCCAGCTTCGACAACCGCCTCTCCAACATCACCGATTTGATCGACGACGACGAGCGCAAGGCCCGCTCCAAGCTCGACGCCGCCGAGCAGGTCATTATGCGCTGGGATTCGTCTCGCACCGCTCTCCCGTCCTGGTGCGACTGTCCCGAGGACGCGGTCGACTACTTGACTGCCGTTGACGAGGTCCTCGACCTGCTCGACGACCTCTCCTTTAAGGATGCCAGCATCGAGGCCGTCGACCGGGCCGAGACCGCCGTCCAGGTTGCTATGACCAGGCTCGAGGAGGAGTTTCGCCACATCCTCACCAGGAACACTGTCCCGCTCGATGCCGAGAGGCTCTACGGATCCATACGCAGGGTTTCTCTCTCCTTTGTGGGTAACGAGGGGGAGATCATCGACGACGAATTCGAGAGTTTCGGTGAGGTCGATAGCGCACGTGACAGCGGCTATTTCCACGAGCGGGGGGTTAGTTTGGGCGATGATATTTGTGTGGATTTGATTAACCCTGATGCTGTTGGGGAGCTGAGGGAGATCGCTGATCGAATGATCCGTTCTGGGTACGAGAAAGAGTGTGTTCAGGTTTACTCCAGTGTCAGGAGGGAGGTTTTGGACGAGTGTTTGGCTATCTTGGGCGTTGAGAAGCTTAGCATAGAAGAGGTTCAGAGGATTGAATGGAAAGTGTTGGATGAGAAGATGAAGAAATGGGTGCAGGCTGTGAAGATTGGAGTAAGGGTTCTTCTCACTGGGGAGAAGAGGCTGTGTGATCAGATCTTCAGCACCTCCGATTCCGCGAGGGAGATTTGTTTCAATGAGAATGCTAAAGGGTGTATAATGCAGCTGCTGAATTTTGGGGAGGCTGTTGCTATAGGGAGGAGATCATCAGAGAAACTCTTTAGGATCTTGGATATGTATGATGTACTGAGTGTTGTTATTCCAGACTTGGAGATGATGGTGACAGATGGTTTCTTGTGTGGTGAGGCAAAGGGTGTTCTATCTGGACTTGGAGAAGCTGCTAAAGGGACTTTCTCAGAGTTTCAGAGCGCCGTGCAGAACGAGGCTTCCAGGAAGCCTATGTTAAGCGGGGAGATTCATCCGCTGACACGGTATGTGATGAACTATGTGAAACTAGTAGTGGATTATAGCCATACATTGAATTCCCTCTTTGCGGAGAGTGATGAGGATGAATCTAGTGGTGGCTCGGGTTCACATACTGATGATGGTGAGGAGAATGCAACTCCAATATCAAGGAGGGTTTTGGCCCTGTTGTCGATCCTGGAGTCAAATCTCGAGGAGAAATCTAAGTTATACGAGGATGGTGCTATGCACTACATATTCCTTATGAACAATATTCTGTACATTGTGCAGAAAGTAAAAGACTCAGAACTCATTAAGGTGGTGGGAGATCAGTGGGTTCGAAAACGGCGTGGCCAGATACGTCAGTACGCGACATCTTATCTTAGGGCTGCTTGGAGTAGGGCTTTGTCATGTTTGAAGGATGAAGGGATTGGCGGGAGCTCGGGTAGTGCGTCGAGAGTGGCTTTGAAAGAGAGGTTTAAGAGTTTCAACGCATGGTTTGAAGATATATACAGGGTTCAGACAGGATGGAAGGTCCCGGATCCTCAGCTCCGCGAAGAGCTAAGAATCTCTATATCTGAAAAGGTGATACCTGCTTACCGGGCGTTTTTGGGACGGTTTGGAAGCCATCTCGAGAGCGGGAAGCATTCAGGGAAGTACATAAAGTTCACACCAGAAGATCTGGAGAATTATGTACCTGATCTATTTGAAGGGACACCTCTTGTGATTCACCACTTGAGAAGAAAGAGTTAGTAGGAAGGATAAAGTCTTGGTGGCTTGGGTGACAGGATATCAGTCACTTGCTTAAGACTTAAGAGGAAGGAACAGAGTTTCCCGCTCTCAATGTACGCCTGATAATATGTTTTTTTCTTTCTTCTTTTTCGTTTTGTTCATTACTTGTTGGTTATTGTCAATGCTTGAGCAAACAAACAAACAAACAAACAGATGCTCTTCCTGAAAGTCGAAACAGTCTCTGAATGCTGTGTTTTAAGTTTGTTGTACATGTAATATAGAATACTCTCAAGAAAGCCATTATCATTTTGCCAACCAATATTGCAGCTGGTTTTTGGTCTTGGAAGAATGTAAGTGGTTAAGGAGGGATGTAAGATATTTGACTCGTATGGGAATCCAAGTTGACAGATTCTTCTCAGTGGTTGCAGATTTAGGATGCTATGCCATTGATGAAGTAAGTTAGCAATACCATGTGCTTCTCATGTCATGTCAACCTAGCTCGTTTTGCAGTTGAGAAGTATGGTGGATCTGCAAACACCGCTCTCTCCTCTTCAGATGCAGTTGTGCCCTCTGCGCGTGTGGATGAGATATCTTTGCTACGTGAATGAGATCCAGTAGTCACATAGATGATGGGAGTCTTTGGTACGGGTGTGTTGGTTAGTAACCACTCGATCATTGTCTGTTTAGGCAGCCTACTCGCACAGGCTATGGTTAACGTGGCAAAATGGGTTTGGTTGCGAGGCTTTTTTTCCAGTAGGGGCCAGGACAGGACAGGACAGGTCAGGTCAGGTCAGTTGGGAAGCAGCGGATTTCATAAGACAGGTGGACGAACTGGAGCATTGATTGCCCACCGCAATCAGAGTCCGCAGGCACTCAATAATGCTGCAACCGGAAAAAGAACGTGCACTTGTCTGCCTGGCTACCTAGTCGGTTTTGTTGCTCTGCCGCTCCACACCAAAAAAACAACACTCCCTACCATCCTGCCGCTTCTCTCGTCGGCCTTTTATGTTTCTCAGCCGAGTTGAATCTTGTAAGTTATCGGTACCGACTACTACTTCTAATAAAGGTGAAGTGTAATCATGAAAAGAATTGTATAGCATATGTGTTTACACCATAAATTTTGTCGTGTATCACATTGGTGAGTTACAAGATAATCAAGGAGTTTATAAGGTCACACCTATTATAACAATTAAGGTTGTTTAAATTGGGCCTTGTGGATATTGATTTTAAACCCAAGTCACTAGCTCATTAATGAGCATGGACATGATTCAATAAGGGACATGGGCCTCTAGTAAGAGGCCATGCCATGACACGAGATGGCATGAAAATTTCCAAGTATGACAAGTCCATGGCCATGAATGAAGAGGCCATGCCGCACCATGACCAAGGCCTAATGAATGAAAAATAAACTAAGTCTTGAAGAGGTACACGCCACTTCAAGGAGAAGCATGTGCCGCCTCACGAGAAGGGGCATGGACGCGAGACAAGAGGCCCTAGGTATGATTGAAAAATGCTAAGTATGAGAAAACCATGCCACCTCAAGAGAAGAGCCATGTGCATGATTGAGAGATCCATGACCGTGTCACGAGAGGGGCCATGGACGCAAGGCCGTGAATCACACTTCAAAGAAGACAAAGATATTCTAAGTGTGGAGAAGGACTTGTCGCTTCAACGAGGAGGGTCATGTCCCTCTAGATATTGAGAAGGTCATGTCGTGTCACAGGAAGGGCCACGAGCATGAATGAGAGGTCCATGGCCGCGAATGAAGAGGCCATGCCGCCTTATGACCAAATTCGAATGACCTAAAAATATTCTAAGTCTGGGAAGAACATGCCGCTTCATGAGAGGGGCCATGTGCACGATTGAGAGGTCCATGCCGCCTCATGAGAGGGGCCATGGACACAAATAAAAAGGGTGTGGTGATGGAGCATTATATCACTAGTGAATATGTCTCAAGAGGTCCATGACCGTTAGACAAGAAGGCCATGGACATGAGTAAGAAGTCCATGGCCGCGAGGGAAGAAGACCACGACCCCCTTTGCGAGACACCACATGCTCGTCAAAAGACTAGCATGGCACGAGATTCAGAACAAGACTAGGCAAGGCAAGCTACACTCCAAAACCCACGACGGTTCCAAGAGAGGCACCTAGGCGGTTGAAGGAGTAACCACCACTCCGAGGAAGCAGGGAGCGGTTCTTTTTGGGAGTTATCCAAGAGGCGGTTTGCTACCGAAGAAGGGGGAGCGGTTCTTTGTAGCAGTTATCCAACAAGCGGTTTTCTATGGCGGTTACCTCCTCGGGGCTATAAATAAGAGGAGGGGTCGACAGAGACAAAGGGTTCCAAAACCAACACTCTGACACATATGTCAAGTTTATCCTTTACCTTTTCTCTATCATGTAGCCATAGATGTAGTTCGTAGTTTGGAGCTCTCGCCGAACCTCCATAGGAGTAGAAGTAATTTAATTTAGATCTCGTTCCCAAAAATCATCAATCAAATACCCTCGTTCGAACTTTGTTTGAAGAGGTTTGAGCCGTGTCTTAGAAATCGTTGTCCATAGAAGTCAAAGGTGCAATCCATCTCATTTCAACAAGAGTTTTCTCGCCGGGAAACAAATCTGGCACACCTGGTGGAACCTTGTGTTTGATTTGATGGCTCCACACATGTTTGTGATAAGCATGCTAGTTTGGCTAAGTCTGGACATGGGGTCATGTCAGTGTCACCCATCATGAAGTATGAAGTAGGGGGCATGTCTTGGAAGACACAACAGCTCCATGCCACCCATGATCTTTATAAGTGTAAAACTATGGTTAAGTCTAGACAAGAGGATATGCAACCAATCGCAAACAGTGGATATGAGGTCAAGTCCAACAAGAAAAGACGTGGAAAAGCCAAAAAGAGTTCTCGTAGTGTTGAAAATTTAGCTAAGTATGGGCAAGGAGGCATGTCACCCACCATGAATAATGGAGTAGGGGGCATGTCCAAGAATCTAAAAGAATTTCAACCTACACATGCTTGTGATAAGTACGCAAGTTTGGCTAAGTGTGGACAGGGGGGCAAGTCCATGTCCATGAGTAGTAAGTACATGCCATCAATCATGAATGATGGACATAGGGGCATGCATAAGAAGGTATCTTACGCACAAACCAGACATAGCCTCACAAAGAACCAAGGATGGTCGTGTGCTAAGGGTAGGATCCAACAAGGTTTGGAGGTTGAAAGACAAAGTCAAGTGGGCCACATGGGGTGGTCGCCAACTTGTCAAGACTGGACATCGTCTCCAAGAACATGAGGAGAGTAAGCATGTCTCAACCATGAGGAAACCAAGGCAGAGGAAAACCCATGGTCGTCTTAACATGTCAAGTGATGTGGCTAAAGCATATGAGCATGAGACACCATGCAACGCCACCAAGGCTAGACATGTTGATCATATACCACCCACTGGTAAGCTAGAAGATTCAAAATTAATGTATGGAGAATCATGTTCCATGGAGGAAGAGAGGCATGTGGTATATGGATGGCTTGCATGTTTTAATCCATGGACTTGGCAGTGGGTGTACACCTTTGGCGCATTAGTTGTTGCCAGAGGCGATGGAGAGCAGTGACGTTTGTCACTCCTTGTTATCTTAAATAAATAAATATCATATATATTAATTAATAAATAAAAGCCAATCATGGCTATATAAGAAAAAATAGAGAGAAAATAACAAAGTGGAAATTTTAAGTCGAAGTTATTAGACTTTGATGTGAAGATCTTACCACCAGGTCGTAGTGATGGCTAGGCATACCGAGTCGTAGATTGCGTCTTGCCATGCTATGTCGTCTTGTCCCAAGTGGCCACCAGTTTGGATGTTGGCCACGACCTAAGGGCATCGTGGCATGGAGATGAGTGATGGCCAACTTGATCATGTACAATAAGAAAAGTGTAGGGGCCTCACTAAATTGTTGACGAAAAGCCAACAAGGCAAGGGTTTCTCGTGGCTACACATGAATGAAGACAACATAGGCGGCATAGCTAGCCACTTGAAAGACGTAGGTATCATGGTGTTGTTTTAGGGGGAAAATTTTCAAGTTTTATTGAACCTGTGGTCATGGGTGAGTAGAGACAAGCCTTGTTACTCGAGGACCAGTTAGATAAGGGGTATAAGTGGTCAAGTTGGTCTCAACTACTTAGTCCATAATCCTTATGCACTAAGTAGTTGGGTGGCATTTGTTTACACCATAAATTTTGTCTTGTACCACATTGGTGAGTTACAAGATAATCAAGGAGTTTATAAGGCCACACCCATTATAACAATTAATGTTGTTTAAATTGGGCCTTGTGGATATTGATTTTAAACCCAAGTCACTAGCTCATTAATGAGCATGGACATGATTCAATAAAGGACATGGGCCTCTCGTAAGAGGCCATGCCATGACACGAGATGGCATGAAAATTTCCAAGTATGAGAAGTCCATGGCCATGAATGAAGAGGCCATGCCGCCCCATGACCAAGGCCTAATGAATGAAAAATAAACTAAGTCTGGAAGAGGTACATGCCACCTCAAGAGAAGAGCCATGTCCATGATTGAGAGATCCATGGCCGTGTCACGAGAGGGGCCATGGACGCAAGGTCGTGAATCACACTTCAAGGAAGACAAAGATATTCTAAGTGTGGAGAAGGACTTGTCGCTTCAACGAGGAGGGTCATGTCCCTCTAGAGATTGAGAAGGTCATGTCGTGTCACAGGAAGGGCCACGAGCATGAATGAGAGGTCCATGGCCGCGAATGAAGAGGCCATGCCGCCTTATGACCAAATTCGAATGACCTAAAAATATTCTAAGTCTGGGAAGAACATGACGCTTCATGAGAGGGGCCATGTGCACGATTGAGAGGTCCATGCCGCCTCATGAGAGGGGCCATGGACACAAATAAAAAGGGTGTGGTGATGGAGCATTATATCACTAGTGAATATGTCTCAAGAGGTCCATGACCGTTAGACAAGAAGGCCATGGACATGAGTAAGAAGTTCATGGCCGCGAGGGAAGAAGACCACGACCCCCTTTGCGAGACACCACATGCTCGTCAAAAGACTAGCATGGCACGAGATTCAGAACAAGACTAGGCAAGGCAAGCTACACTCCAAAACCCACGACGGTTCCAAGAGAGGCACCTAGGCGGTTGAAGGAGTAACCACCACTCCGAGGAAGCAGGGAGCGGTTCTTTTTGGGAGCTATCCAAGAGGCGGTTTGCTACCGAAGAAGGGGGAGCGGTTCTTTGTAGCAGTTATCCAACAAGCGGTTTTCTATGGCGGTTACCTCCTCGGGGCTATAAACAAGAGGAGGGGTCGACAGAGACAAAGGGTTCCAAAACCAACACTCTGACACACATGTCAAGTTTATCTTTTACCTTTTCTCTATCATGTAGCCATAGATGTAGTTCGTAGTTTGGAGCTCTCGCCGAACCTCTATAGGAGTAGAAGTAATTTAATTTATATCTTGTTCCCAAAAACCATCAATCAAACACCCTCGTTCGAACTTTGTTTGAAGAGGTGTGAGCCGTGTCTTAGTAATCGTTGCCCAAAGAAGTCAAAGGTGCAATCCATCTCAATTACACAAGAGTTTTCTCGCCGGGAAACAATATGTTTAACTATCTAATCCTCGGTTCTTCCAGTTACAATTATCTAGCAGTTAAGGGTAAATGGAGTGAACGACTCAGAATTAACAACATAGTAAGTAAATTGATCTTTAGTTTGACTGGGGAGAAGTCACTGATGTATTGATACACCTTAATCTCTAGTTGAATTAATGATTGCTGATTTCATAGTTCGTTTCACCCAAGCATTGTACAACGTCTCGTCCTCTTCCTTGGAGAACTCAGCAATCGCCTACCTCGACTAGGCCATCTTGGGCGGGGGAAACTAGCGGCTCATGAACCTATCGAGTAGATTAGTCCACAAAGTGATAGAATAGGGTGGCTGATTGGTAAGCCACTTCTTTGTCAGCATGCTTAAAGAAAACGGGAACATATACAGCCTGAGGGAATCGTGCGGGACTCTGTTCACCTTATCCCATCAGTCAATTCCAGGAATCCCTGAATA